ATGTCAGCTGAGACCTGAAGGTAAGCTGTGGGGGGGGGGGGGGGAGTTGGAAGCCCCGGGAAGGATTGGGCACTGACTTCAGAGAGGGCATCACTGGGCAGAGCCAGAAAGGCCCTCAGGAGAAGGGCTCACCCTGTTGTCCAGATCACGAGGACGTGCCCAGGGCTGGGCTGGGGCCGGGGTACCTCCTCCCTCCTCACCTGGCAGGGGCTGCCAGGGGGGTGGCGAGAAGAGAAAGGGCCTGGAGTTTGCCGGCAAAGGCTCCCTGCCGCCATGGGAGGCCGAGCGGTCCTGGCCCCTCTCGGGCCTCCCTCTCCGGGCCTCCCTCTCCGGCCTCCCTCTCCGGCCTCCCTCTCCGGCCTCCCTCTCGGGCCTCCCTCTCCGGCCTCCCTCTCCGGGCCTCCCTCTCCGGCCTCCCTCTCCCGGCCTCCCTCTCCGGGCCTCCCTCTCCGGCCTCCCTCCCCCTCTCCGGCCTCCCTCTCTCCGGGCCTCCCTCTCCCGGCCTCCTCTCCGGCCTCCCTCTCTGGCCTCCCTCTCTGGACCTCCCTCTCCGGCCTCCCTCTCCGACCTCCCTCTCCCGGCCTCCCTCTCCGGGCCTCCCTCCGGCCTCCCTCTCCGGTCTCCCTCTCCAGCCTCCCTCTCCGGGCCTCCCTCTCCGGGCCTCCCTCCGGCCTCCCTCTCCGGCCTCCCTCTCCGGGCCTCCCTCCGGCCTCCCTCTCCGGCCTCCCTCTCCGGGCCTCCCTCCGGCCTCCCTCTCCGGCCTCCCTCTCCGGCCTCCCTCTCCGGGCCTCCCTCCGGCCTCTCTGCTAAGGCCGTGGGGCCTCCTGGGAGGCGAGGCTGGGAAGTGGGCCTGAGGCACGGAGCCCCCTCTGGGCCTGGTCCCCGGTCCCCGAGCGTCCAGGCCGGAGGTCAGCTTGGCCAGAGGTGAAAACAGCTCTCAAGCCCCTCGCATGGGATTGGCCAATGGGCGGCCTCCCGGGGCACCTGGAGCCCAGGCTGCCTCCTCCAGAGGCCTCTGGAGACCATGTTCTCCTCTGCCCGCCTCCTTTCTTTCTCTCAAAACGCTGACCCGTCTCCCTTGCAGGCCTGCCCTTGGTCCTGCCCTCATAGGTCTCACGGGGGGGAGGGGGGCGCCCCCTCCTGGAAGCCCCCCTGGCCTGCATGCCTGGGAACTCCAGAGCATACTCCCCCCAGAGGCCCTCGGAAGCTCATGCACAAGGATGGGGGTGGCGGGTGGGGGTGGGGGAGAAGGGCTTAGGGCCAGCTGCCCATGCCCACGGTCGGTAAGACCTGGGACCTGGGCTGCTCTGCGGGTTCACATCCCAGCTCAGCCTTGACTGGCCATGTGGCCTCGCCTCTGTGCCTCAGTTTCCACATCATGAAATCGGGCTAAGAGTCCCCCATCCAGGGCTGTGAGGAGGTCAGATGTTACTATGACAGGTTAACGGGTTCCCTCACCGCAGCTCTGCCTAAACCGCCCCTCTGCACCCCTGGGAGGCCCCCCACGTCTCTGTCCCCCGGAGGACCGCTTGGGCCCTCAGAGATGCTGGGGCAGCGGCTGAGGATGCGGTTTGCAGAATTCCCGTCGGAGCCCTGCTCCCAGACGCCCTTCAGGGGAACCCAAATCTCTCCCGGGAGGCCTGGGGCGTGGGGGAGGGTGTGGGAGGCCGGGGCTGGCTCCCCGCCCCCCCCACCCCGCTTCCTTCCTCAGACCTTCCTGCCGGCACGTTCTGCAGCTCCGAGGCCCCGTCCCGCCTCACCCCGCGCCGTCCCCCTCCCCCCCGCCCCCGCCGGTGTTAATGTGTTAAATCCACATCAAGGTCCCGGGGACCCGCTGTTTATTTTTGTGAACGTGTTGGCAGAGATCGCACGGGGGAGGGGGCGGCTGCTGATTCGGTCAGAATAAATGCTAATTAATAAAAGTTATTTATTTGGGTTGGAGCTCGCCCTGGCCCCAGGGGTCAGGCGCAAACTGACTATTTGAAGCAAAAACAAATAGAAGAGGGCCCCCCGGCAGCTTGAGCGAGGCCGAGAGCGAGAGGCGGGTTTATTTGTCTTGGGAAGAATTTGCCGCTAATTCCCTCCAGACCGTTTAGGCCCTTAAATTACACGGGACGAGAAAAGCCCAGGGTGCGGGGAGGGGAGCGGGGACACTCGGTCGCTTGGCCGAGAGCAGGGGTTTTAAACGTCTCTGGCCCGCGGTCAGCGAGTGAACAGTACGTGTGAAATAACTGAATGGCAGAGCGCCTTTTTCCGCTGTAATGTAATCGGGGACGGGGTAACGGGGTTTCAGGGAGAGAGGGAGTGCGTGGCGGGCCGCCCCCAGCCCCCACGTGTCTCTCCTGCCCGACCCAGCCGCTCCCAACGGTGTGTGAGCAGCCGGGGCACAGGCCGCGGCCTCGGCCTTTATGTCGATCCCAGGGGAAAGCAGGGCGTTTGGAGAAGGCAAGTAAGGTATAACTTTTGGCGGGACAGTCCCGATTTTTAAAAAATATATTTTCTTGATTTTTTACAGAGAGGAAGGAAGAAGGATAGAGAGCTAGAAATATTGATGAGAGAGAATCATGGACCAGCTGCCTCCTGCACACCCCTCACTGGGGATGTGCCCGCAACCAAGGTACATGCCCTTCACTGGAATCGAACCCAGGACCTTTCAGTCTGCAGGTCGACGCTCTATCCACTGAGCCAAACCAGTCTTGGCTGGACAGTCCTGGCTCCCGGCTCCTGGTGTGAGGTCTTCCTTTAGAACAAAGAGGCGCCCGCCCTGGCCGGACAGCTCAGTCGGGCAGAGCATCGTCCGGATACACCCACGTGGTGGGTTCAGTCCCTGGTCAGAAATCAGCCAGCAAACGCATAAGCAAGCAGAACAACAGCACCCGTGTTTCTGTCTCTCTCCACCCCTTCCACGCTCTCTAAAACCAATCAATCAAACATGTAAAAAGCAAAATAATACGTTATGTTTTTACTTTTATCTTTTAAAATATATTTTATTGATTTTTCACAAAGAGGAAGAAGAGAGAGGGATAGAGAGTTAGAAACATCGATGGAGAGAAACATCGATCCAATGCCTCTTTCACACCCCCTACTGGGGATGTGCCTGCAACCAAGGTACATGCCCTTGACCGGAATCGAACCCGGGACCCTTCAGTCCTCAGGCCGATGCTCTATCCACTGAGCCAAACTGGCTTCGGCAATAACACGTTATTTTTTTTAAAAGTACCCGGCGCGTCCTTCCCGGGAGCTCGGAGGGGGGCCTGGGTGCTCGCCCACCAGTGAGATGCGTGACCTGGAGACCCTCCCAGGGCGCCCCCCAGAGCGAGGACCTCAGTGACAGACCACAGGCCGCCTTCCTGAGAAGCAGACAGGAATTCCTCCCCCGCGGCTGCCTGCCTCAGTCTCCCCGTCTGTGAAATGAGTGGTTGGGGGGATTCAGTGGGTGCACCCCATCTGAGCTGCCTGGGCAGGAACCGGGAGGGCCGGCTGCCGCCGTGGAGGCCAGCTGGTCTGGGGGGCGCATCTGGGGCTGGGAGGGGGGGGCCAGTGCATGCTTTGGGGTGAGAGTCACGGCACCCACAGTTTGGGGAAAGAGGGGGTGGCTGCTTCCTGCGCCCCTCGGCAGGGCGGGCGTACAAAATGCTTTTCATCTGAACACGCTCGGTTTCCAATTGCCTGGAACTTCCCGAAAAAAGCCTGCTTTTCTGGCCGGAAGCCCTCGCGCGCCGGGTGTGTGCCCACGCCAAAGGGGCTCTGATGGCTGGTGTTCCGGAAGCTTCTGTCCCGCGTGGCCTATTGCTCATCGCCCCGTTGTCAGCACATGGGCCCTGGCTGGTGCGGTTTAGGGTTTCCTCCCGCTGGATGGAGGGGCGGGGCGGGGAGGGCCATTGCCGTCCATCGTCGGCGCCTTGTCTTGGAGGGAAGGGGTGAGGAGTGAAGCCTGAGCCGGTCTGGGGGGAGGCGGCCCGCCGGGGCCCCTCCGTCAGCCCCCGCCCCGCCGGCCCCTCCCTCGCGGTCCCGCGTGTTCGCAGGCAGGCTCTGCCCACGAGAGCTCTGAGCACGGCTCCTGCCGCTGCGGACAGTGTGGCCGCGATCTGGGCACGTGGGGCCGTGTCCTGGGCGTCGAAGGGGATTTAGCAGCACCCGGGCCTGTCCCCGTTCCATCCCGGTCCTGACCAGTGTCCCCTGGAGGCCAAACTGCCCTCAGCGAGAGCCAGAGCCCCTGACCGGAATCGAACCCGGGACCCTTCAGTCCTCAGGCTGGCGCTCTATCCACTGAGCCACACCAGCCAGGGCATGTAAAAATATATTTAAAAAACAAGCAAAAAGCCTGGCTGGCGTGGCTCAGTGGTTGAGCACGGACCTGTGGACCTAGGAACCAGGAGGTCATGGCTCGGTTCCTGCTCCGGGCATGTGCCCGGGTTGTGTGCTTGATCCCCAGTGTGGGGCGTGCAGGAGGCAGCTGATCAACGATTCTCTCTCATCATGGATGCTTCCATCCTCCTCTCCCTCTCCCTTCCTCTCTGAAATCAATAACTAGATATTATAAAATTAAAAAAAAAAAACTAGCCGAAACCGGTTTGGCTCAGTGGATAGAGAATTGGCCTGCGGACTGAAAGGTCTCAGGTTCGATTCCGATCAAGGGCATGTACCTTGTACCAGTGGGGGTGGGGGTGTGCAAGAGGCAGCTGATGGATGTTTCTCTATCATTGATGTTTCTAACACTTTATCCCTCTCTCTTCCTCTGTAAAAATCAATCATATATATATTTACATATATAATTATATATATATAAATCAATCATATATATATTTATATATATAATTACATATGTATAAAAATCAATCATATATATATAAAACAAAACTAAAAACTCAATGCGAACCGCTGAGCAGGTGCCTGGGTGCCCTGGTCTGAGCTCCGTGGGCCTGGCCGGTCTGGGGGGGCTTGGGGCACCCACGGCGCCGCCCTCTGCCCTCTGCCCCGCTGACCCCGTCCTCCCGCAGGCGAGTGCCCCAGCCCCGGGCGCGGCGCCGCCAAGCGGAAGAAGAAGCAGCGGCGGAACCGCACCACGTTCAACAGCAGCCAGCTGCAGGCGCTGGAGCGCGTGTTCGAGCGCACGCACTACCCCGACGCCTTCGTGCGCGAGGAGCTGGCCCGGCGCGTCAACCTCAGCGAGGCGCGCGTGCAGGTGAGGCCGCCAGGGGGCGCCGGAGGGGGCACCCCGTCCGCTCAGGGGCGGGGAGCTGCCGGGCCAGAGGTTTAAGAGCAGCAACACCTGAGGCCAGGGGCTGAGGCTCACGTCCAAGCCCTGCCACCTACCGTGCCAGCTGTGTGACCCGGGGCACGCTGCCTGACCTCTCTGGGCCTCAGGGGCCCCCCTGTGAACTGGGATCACGTGGGTGTGTTTCATAGGCTCTCCTGAGAAGTGAAGGGGTCGCTGCATTTTTAAAAATTTTAATTATTTTTTTATTTTTTTTTAATATTTTTTAATTGATTTTTACAGAGAGGAAGGGAGAGGGATAGAGAGTCAGAAACATCAGTGAGCGAGAAACATCAACCAGCTGCCTCCTGCACACCCCCTCCTGGGGATGTGCCTGCAACCAAGGTACCTGCCCTTGACTGGAATCGAACCCGGGACCCTTGAGTCCGAAGGCAGACGCTCTATCCTCTGAGCCAAACCAGTTAGGCCATTTTTTCAACTTTAAAAAAGGAGTTCCTGCTCTGTAAAGTGCTCCGCGCAGCGCCTGCCCGGAAGCGGTTTGATAAGTCGCTGTAGCGTGTTCCGTGTCCACCCGTCCCAGCTCCGAGCGGAGCACCCAGCATGCACCTCTCAGGATGACCTCACACAGCCACGTGCTCACTCATTCACCCTTCATTCATTCATCCACACGCCGTTCTCCACCACACCCTCACCCAGCCGGGGGACCGCCAGCACCCCTTTCCGGATGAGGAAACGAGGCTCGGAGAGGGGACGCTGCCGGCCCGGGGCTGGTACGGAGCAGGCTCACGCTGGGTCCAGCAGGACCTGGGTCCCCTCACAGCCGCCGCCCCCCCTTCCCGCCCCCCCAGGTCTGGTTCCAGAACCGCCGCGCCAAGTTCCGCCGGAATGAGCGGGCCATGCTGGCCAACCGCTCCGCCTCGCTGCTCAAGTCCTACAGCCAGGAGGCCGCCATCGAGCAGCCCGTGGCCCCCCGGCCCACCGCCCTGAACCCCGACTATCTCTCCTGGACGGCCTCGGCCCCCTACAGGTGAGGGCGGCCCCCTCGGGCCGGGAGGGGCGTGGCCAGGGGTCCCCAGGGTGCGCTGGGACCCAGGCTCCTTCCAGCACCCCCTGGCAGTGGGCACACACCGAGCGGTAGGTGGGCAAGGGAGTGACGTGTGCTCTTGGGTGTGCACGCATGGGATTTGTAGGAGTATGTGTGTGTTGCATGAGTGTGAGCATGTATGCACATGAGTGCATTTCCACATCAGTGTGAGCGCAGGGTTGTGAGTGCACACATGTGCCTGGGAGTGCACAGACGTGTTCATGTGCATGTGCATACATGTGCACATGGATGTGCCGAAGGGCAAGATGACGAGGCCTGTCTGGAGGGGAGGGAAGAGCCCGCGTTGCTCTCAGGCAGCTGGAATCCCGCGGGATTTTGAGGTGCGAGAGCCCCACACCCTGTGTCTACCCTCCTGGCCAGAAGCTGGAGGCCTGGGACCAGGGCCTCCCTGTACTGGGGACCTGGCCGGGGCCCAGGGCCATGTCCTGGGGCAGCTCTCCCCTGGTCACAGCTAGACACAGGCTCTGAGGGGGCGGGGTGAGCGGAGGAGGGAGGGGCTGGGGAGCTGGGCTTGTTCCCACAACTCCAGGGGGCGCCATCCGGCCCTCAGTCTGTGAGCGGCTCTGCGGGAGCCTCGCTTGTGGATGGCGAGTCCAGCAGTCAGTGCGGCACGGAGTCCTGGTGGTGCCCAGTGAGGCCCAGTGAGGCCCAGTGAGGCCGCCTGACTCCCAGCTGACTCCCTGAGGCCCCCTACACCCAGGCGTGTGCGCACTCACCCGTCCTCTGCACAGGCCCTGGGGTGGACGGGACCCAGGCCCTGTGCTCTGGAAGCTCCTGGTCCCGTGAGAAACCCCCACAATCCCCAGGTGGCCCCGCGCCCCGGGGCTGGCCGTGGGCACTTCTGCAGCCCCAGCACCCCACCCAGAAGAGCAAGCTGAGGAGGGGAGTCAGGAGGGCCAGGACTGAGAGCCACATCACAGGCGTCCCGCGTCTTCTGTCCCCCCAGCACAGTGCCGCCCTACAGCCCGGGAGGCGCCAGCCCGGCCGCCCCGGGGGTCAACATGGCCAACAGCATCGCCAGCCTCCGCCTCAAGGCCAAGGAGTTCAGCCTGCACCACAGCCAGGTGCCCACCGTGAACTGAGCCGGCCGCCGGGACCCTGCCTCCTGGGCGGCGGCCGAGGCGAGGGCGGGAGCCGCAGAGCCGCCACCTCCTGTCCCGGCTCAGGCCTGCTGGGTGGGCCCTCCCGGCCCTGCCCTCCAGCCCGGACCCTGGGCCTCCCTCCAGCTCGCACCCTGGACCCGAGGCGGCTGAGACGCCGGCCGGAGCCCTGCTCAGCCCCTCGTCCGCCACCAGGACTTGGCCCGCGCCCCTGGCAGGGGCTGGGCCGGAAGGTGAACGGGAGCTCACCAATGACCTCACTTACGTTGTGTATTAAAACCAAATAGCTTTTGTCTTTAAGAAATAAAGAATGGTTTACGCCCCAAAAGGCTGTGGGAGGGCAGCGACGGGCAGCAAGGCCAGGGGGCCAGCCCGTGCTCTGGCCCCAGCGGCCGCAGAGACCCCTGGCCTGGGCCGGCGGGGCCGCAGCCAGCAGGCGGCCCCGTCTGCCGCTCCTGGACAGTCTCCTTTGCCTGCAGATCCCGGGGTGGGGGTGGGACGGGAGGGCGAGCCCCGCCGGGACCCCACGGACGCCCCGGGGTTTCTGAGGCTGGGAGCAGGACTCCTCCCCTCTCTGGTCAGGGCGGAGCCTGTCCCAGGGCGGATGGGACAGATGCTGAGGCGAACTTCCTTGCTCTCGGGCATACTCAAAGCGTGGGAGCCCGAGCATTGGACTGGGGAGGGGCCTGGACAAAGGGTGGGGTGCAGAGTGGACAGAGGAGCGGTCCTGACAGACAAGGCCCCCAGCAGGCCTCTCCCAAGGCCGAACCCGCCTCCTGCAGAAGGTAACGGGGTGACGAGGACACATGTGCCTCCGGCAGAGACACCAGTGGAGAGGAGCCGCAGAAACGGCGGGTGAGGGCGTGTCTGAAGCGGCCCCGGCCCTGGCCTCCGCCTCCCTTCGGGGGGCGCACCCGGCAGGGAAGGTCATGGCCGGTTCTGGAACCTCGCCCGCCCAGGAAGGAAGCACGCCCTGACCCCGGAGGGCGCAGAGTGGGTCAGCCCGCCTGGCGGTGGCCCTCCCGGTGACATCGCCGTCACGCCCTGGTGGGTCCATCCATAGGTATTGGATCTGCCAGCCCGCACCGCCTCAGAGTGCCCCCCAGGGCCCCCGCTCCCAGCCACAGGCTGCAACTAGATGGCCTCAGACAGCTCCAGGCCTGGCGTGGGGATGGTCCCCATTCTTTTTGATTTTTAAATATATTTTATTGATTTTTCACAGAGAGGAATTGAGAGGGATAGAGAGTTAGAAACATTGATGAGAGAGAGTCATCGACCAGCTGCCTCTTGCACACCCCCTACTGGGGATGTGCCCGCAACCAAGGTACATGCCCTTGACCGGAATCGAACCCGGGACCTTTCAGTCCGCAAGCCGACGCTCTATCCACTGAGCCACACCGGTGCCGGCCCCATTCTTGTTCTAGAAGGAATGGTGACTACAGCCACGAGCGAGGCGAGGGCTCCTCTCCCTGCTCCCCGATTCAGCCCTGACAGTCCTCCTTGCACTGCCCCTGGAATACTGCCCCGAAAACAGGCCCACCCAGGCACTGCCACGCTAGGCAAGACCCGGGGCTCGGAGGAGGCACACCCCGTCCGTCTTTCTACTTGCAGCCCAAAGGGAGGGGCGGTGCAGCATGGCCAGGCTGAGGCTGCCGCGGCAGGGAGGGGGTCCCCCTGGAAGGCGGGTCCCAGGAACGCCAGCTTCGGAAAGAGCCGGGGGCCTGTTCCCACAGCGGCGCTGCCCGCCTGGGCGCTGGGATGTCAATGTCATTTCCTCCCAAGCGCTCCAGAAAAAACAAACGGCTTAATTGTTTACACATGTTGCTCCGGGGCGCTGGGGGGGGGGTGGCGGTTAGGGGCCCGGCCCTCTCTGTAAGAGAAAATATATGCAAACAGCGCTGTCGCGCTGCGGCCCTAATTACAGGCTGAGTGGGAGTGTCCTGGGCGCCGGCCCGGGGTCTAATTTTCCATGAGGAGACGGGCCCACGGCCGTCCCAGGCCGGGAGGCCAGGCCGGGAGGACTCGGAGCCGCCCTCCGCGGCCCTTTGTTCCGGGGTTTGGGAGGGCGCTCTGTGCATCCGCTTCCACTTTTTGTTTGAAATAAAGGAACGTGAGTTGACCCAAAACCCAAGAAACGAAGACCCGAGCTTTGCCTGGGGCGGGGCGTGCCCCTCGCCCGGGCCTCCTCCTGTGCCAATGGGGACAGAAACCCGAGCCATCGCCAGGGCTGCTGGCACGGCCCCCTCCACGCATGGGGGGCCTCGGTGTTTGTGGAGGGAGACACACGCAAGGGTGGAGTCTGAGGAAGTCAACACTCTCTGTCCAGGGGACCTCGCACATTCCCTGCCCGGGTACCCCCGTGGCTCAGGGGCTCGATAGAATGAAGAGACTGAGCAGATGTCATTAAGGTCCCTAATCAGTGGACGTTGACTTAATCAGAAGGGAGACGATGCTGGGTGGACCTGAGCTAACCAGGTGAAACCGTAACAGAAGGTCCAGGTGTTTCCTTCTGATGCTCTCCGGCCGGTCCCGCAGGCAAACAGCCTGTTGAGGGCGGGGTGCCCGCCAGCAGCGGAGCCCCCAGTCTTACACCACGAGCACCTGAGCTCTGCCCACAATCTGAATGGGCTTAGAAGGGGACCTGAGCTCCAGGGAGACCTGAGCCGTGTGAGACCCCGAGCAGAGGACCTACAGGCCCTGCAAGGTCATACCCGGTGTTGCCTGAAGCCACTGTTCGTGGCAGCTTGTGAGGTGACACGGGACACTAACGCGGTGGGCGCGGAGCCTGGGGTCCCGCCTTGGTCACGGCCCCGTTCTGCCCGTGAACCCCAGACCCTCTCCAGAGGAGACGAGGCCTCTGCCCCAGTTATCTGCCAGGCCAGTCACAGCCCCTGTCTTCCCTCCTTCCAGGCCTTTCTGCACAATGATGACCTGCCCTCAAACACAGCCTCGATCTGGCCCCTCCTCTGCCTCATGCCTCCCTGGCTCCCAGGACATTTCCAGGGGGTCCCATCACCAGTCCAGGTTCCCGAGGCTCCACCACCTCTCCCTGTCCATCCTTAACCCCCCTCCCCCCGTCCCCAACCCCAGACTCTTCAGACACCCCCCCCCTCCGCTGTCCCTGCAGCAGTACCTCCCACTTCCCCTCCTCGCTGCCAGGGAAGATGCATTCCAAGGAGCCTTACACTCTAGTGCCAACCTCTTAAAAACCCAAGGGGAGTCCTGGCCGGTCGGCAGACACAGCCAAGGTGGGGAGATGTGGGCCGTTGAAGAGACCCATTCAATGTTGGACTTCATATGGGAGCACAGAAGGGAAAACACTGTTACTTTCATAATCAGACTTTAAACAATGAAGCACTCTAGTCCTGGTCGGCACAGCTACCAAGAGGAGCATCCTTGGTGCCCAGGTGGCCATGGGCAGGAGCTCCAGGGAGCAGCGTGGGCCGACGGGACCCCCTCGCCTCTCTCTGTAGCTGCTCAGACACGGCAACGTATACACGCCTATGACACAAACAGTGGAACAGTGTGAGTACGTCATGTGCACATATGTGAATACCAGAGGCCCAACACAGCCCCGGCTCCATCCTGAAGGCTGCCTGGACAGTCTTCTGGAAGGTCATCCAGACGGTCGTTCTGCTGCTTGGTGTTTCCCCGAAAATAAGACAGTGTCTTATATTAATTTTTTCTCCCAAAGTTGTGCTAGGTCTTATTTTCAGGGGATGTCTTATCTTTCCATGCGCTAGGTCTTATTTTCGGAGGATGTCTTATTTTCGGGGAAACATGGTAGCTCTTTATTATATAGGATACCATGCACATTGCATATACCATGCACACATACCCTGAGTGGCCAGATTATGATGATCTCTGAACGCATAATAATCTAGCTGCTCAGTATACGCCATATTTTCCGGCATATAAGACGACTTTTGAAATGAAAAAAAAAAGTCAATCGAAAATCGGGGGCAAAAGACCAAAATTGCATAAAAATTACCTGCAGATCTTGACGGCAAAGTAAGTCTTTTCTTTGAAGTGGGGGGTAGTCTTATACAGCGAATATAGGCCTAAACCTATGTTTTAACTGTAAAATTAGGGGGTCGCCTTATACGGGTATTTGTATCTCACATGGGCACTAAAAGTATTCCAGACTTTTGCTGGAGATCAACCACCTATTTGCCCTGAGCTTTCTATCAGCCAGTGCAAAGGGGAAAACTGATCAGGTGCACGATTTATAGTATCTTTGATATCAAATCAATGAGGTGCTCAAGAGAAGTACACTGAGTGGCCACATTATTGTGCGTTCAGAGATCATCGTAATCCGGCCACTCTGTGTATATTTACTACGCACAGCGGAAGAGTCTGGAAATCTATAGGCCCTGACATGACAGCGACTTTTCTCAGGGACCTGCGATTGGGGGTGGTCTCGGCCCAGGAGAAGCTGCCCCCAGACATCAGGCCCCAGGGGGGCGGCCTCAGCCTCCCAGGCCTGGGCTCAGCCCAGCGTCCTTGTCTTCAGCTCAGGCTGCAGCCCAGAGGCCCCCAGGCTGTGGCCCAGCGTCCTCCCTCCGCCTCCTCCCACCTCTGACCCCTCTGACCCCGGACGGGAGGGAGGAGGCCGCCCCAGGGGGTCGGCTCACCTCTGGGTGGAGCACGTGATACAGATGAAGGGATGAGGCCAGAGCTCACTGGTGCCCACGGCCAGCAGACATGGCCTCAGGGTGCCCTCTCGGGGGTCTTGGAAGAGCACCCAGCTCCTGGGGTACCAGCGCCCAAGCTGGCTCGGAGGGTGGCCGAGCGTGGCCGCCTCACGGTTCCCTACCTGAACGTCTGCCTTGCTGCTGCTGGGAGGCAGGATGCCTCCTGGGTGCCCAGTCTTCCAGGAGCCCCCGCCAGCCCTGTGCCACCCTACAGGGCAGAGTCTGCCCCAGACGGGACAGGAAAAATCACTCCGCTCCTGCCACCTGCCCCTGGACAGCACCCTGGGCCTGCCCCTGCCCCTGCCTGCCTCTCCCCGGGCCCTCCAGGTGCTGGGTGAGCAGTCAGAGCAAACAGCAGGCCCTCAATACATGATCGTGCCCTTGCAGCTGCGACCCAAGAGAGGAGGCTCATCTCACCACCAGGGGGCAGTGTTGCCCGCTGCCAGCTCTGTGCTCGTGGCACTGAGGTGGAGGATGATGGGGGTTTCCAGTGAGGCCTGGAGTCCCCCCTGAGGCCCCAGTGTGCCCCCAACAGGCACCCCCACTCCCATCAGTCCCCCAGGAAGTTCAGAGTCTGCAGAGTAGTGGGAGGCGGACATGCCCAGGTGCTGGAGACAAGGGCAGGGCTGGAGGGGGTTAGGGAAAGTGAGGCTGGGGGGCGAAGTGGTTAGAACAGGGCCACCCGTGTCCCAGGATAATTCCCCTCCGGGGGCACACTTGCAATTTTCAAATCTTGCAGAGACTGGGGACCCAGAAAGTCCCTTTAAGAGGTTGGTCACTCAAAGCCCCTCGTCCTTGACTCAGGGGGCAGCCACGGCCACAGGGAGAGAAGGCCAACCTTACCATGGCCCCCCACCGGCACCTGCTCCGAAGAGAGGAGGATCCGGCAAAGGATGTGGGAGCACAGGGCACGAAGGAGCGTAACCCCCACACCTCACCAAGCTCCCCCTGGAGAGAAACGGCAGCCACACCCTGGCTGGCCCTGGGCCCTGGAGGGCACAGGAGCGGCTCCCAGGCCTGACCAAGGCTGGGCCTCGGGGGTGGGGGAGGGGCTCCTAAAAATGCAGGTTCCCCTGTAGATGGGCCAGACCAGAACCTCTGGGGAGGGGCTGAGAAGTCCGGTTTACCGTCGCTCTGCATCCCCAGGGCTTGACGGTTAGGAACCTGAGCTGCCATTTCCTGGCCTGCGGCCGGGGGTGAGGCCACAATGCTTTCTGAGCTGCTATTTTAGTGGAGGGATTGATTTTTTTACAGAGAGGGAGAGAGAGCTAGAAACATCGATGAGAAACATCCATCAGCTGCCTCCTGCACACCCCACACAGGGGATGTGCCCGCAACCAAGGTACATGCCCTTGACCAGAATGAACTTGGGACCCTTGAGTCCACAGGCCGACGCTCCATCCACTGAGCCAAACCAGTTAGGGCTAAAAAAAAATATGTTTTTATTGATTGCAGAGATGAAGGGAGAGGGAGAGACAGAAACATCCGTGATGAGAGAATCACGGATCAGCTGCCTCTTGCACGCCCCCCACTGGGGACCGAACCAGCAACCCGGGAGTGTGCCCTGATGGGGAATCGAACCGGGACCTCCTGGTTCAGAGGTTGATGCTCAGTCACTGAGCCACACCGGCTGAGCAGCTGTCTATGACAGCCATGTCCGGACGGTTCCGAGTGGCCACTTTGCCCAGGCGTCCGGGGGACACACCCAGGCTGCTGGGCCAGGCGCCCACGCCCGGCAGGCGGCCAGGAAGCCAGGTCCCGGGCCCGTCCCACCTCGAAGGGACGCCCGGCTCCCTGTGCGGCCCGCGGCTGGCGGGCAGCGCGGAGGGGCGCTCACAGATGGCGGGCTGCCTCCCAGACGATCTGCAGGGCCATGGAGGCGCAGGGCAGCTGGGCCAGCGTGTAGGCCAGCGAGCGGATGGGCGCGCGCAGCTTGCCCAGGTAGGCCACCGTGTGCACCATGCGGCCCAGGAAGACCAGCAGGAAGTGCAGCCGCGCCACCACGGGGTTGGGCTGCAGAAAGGAGTAGACCAGGCCCAGGAACAGGAACGGGTAGATGGTCTCCATGTCGTTGCGGTGGGCTCTGGGGAGGCAAGGGGTGCGGTGAGCCGGGCGGCAGCGTGGGGACGCCCCGGCCACGGCCACGGCCACGGCCACGGCCACGGCCACGGCGGAGCGTCTCCAGGCCGCCGGACGCACGTCCACTTGTGGCCGGAGCAGGAGCTGCCCCAGGCGGGAGCGGCGACTCCCAGGCTGGCGCCTGCGGGCGGCTGAAGTGGCCGCCCTGGGACAGGCCGAGCCTGGCGGCGGGGCAGGGCTCTTTCCAAGCCCGGGGCCCCCCGGGACCCCGTCCCTGCCAGTCTCCCCAACCTTCCCCGATGGCTGGGACCCCAGGCGGGGAAACGGGGGCTCCGAGGGGTTGAGTGAGAGCTGGGTAGACCATCTAGGCAGGACCAGTGAGCTGAGAGGCAGGACGAGTGGGGAGGGACAGTGTCCGAGAGCTCCCGTGAGCCCAGGGGGCCTGGGTCTCTCTGAGGTCCCACTGCCTCCCTCCTCTGGGACCTGAGCTGGGGGCCGGCCTCAGGAAAGCAAGCCCCCGGCTGCCAGGTCTCCCCAGCGGGGCGGGGAGCTGCCTGCTGCGCCAGAGAGGAGGCCTGGCCGAGTCCTGGCCACAGGGAGGCGGAGAGAGGAACCAGGACCGGCCGCTCCAAGTCCCTTCTCCTGCGTGTGCGGTCCAGGCAGGAGCTGAGCGTCTCTGAAGGTGCTCGGTCCCAGAGGGTGGTGCCCACACCCCCAGGCTAGAGGGACAGGCACTCAGGAAAACCCATGTTAGATGACATCAGTGTGCCGTCCCAGCATGCGGTGTGCCCGCCCACACACGGATGCCACATGCATGAGCATTGCTGCGTGTGCTGAGTCAGCCCTGACTCCTGCGGCCCTACTGTGAGCGACGCCCAGCGCCCTGGCCCCCAGCCCGGCCCGGAGTCAGTCCCTCTCACGCCTGGTCCTGCCCTCCCGTCGCCACCGCCCCTTTTCCCAGCAGCACCGTCCGCCCAGAGCCTGCCTGCCCGGTGCCCGCAGGCCAGCTCGGGCCCCTCGGCCGCCGGCCGCGCCCCGGGCCTCGCTGGCTCTCAGACAGTCTCTAGGGAAAAGCATCCGTACGAGTGGGTCTCGTATGCTGGGAACCTGCTCCTGAACCTCTCGATAAACACTTCCTTTGGTCTGGTTTGCATTTTTATCTAAAAGCCACAGGAGAATCACCACCAGCACCGGAAACCACTCATTCGCTTTCCCTTAAAGTCTCTCTTTCGGGCCTCCTGCTGGTGGAGGGAGTCTTCATAGAAAGCAGTTAAGAGAAGTGGCCAAACCCCCAAGAACAGGTGAGAGGAAGGGAAGGGAGGAAGCGGGTCACGGAGGCCTGGGCCCTGCCCTGCCCGGTGGGACCGAGGCGGGGGAGGGGGGGAAGGGGGAGGGGGGAGCCAGGCCGTGGGTGCGGACCCCCGCCCCTGGCGCCAGCAAAGGGACTGGAAGACCCAGAGGCCACCGGTGAGGAAGGAGGGGGCTGGGAGCAGGAGAAAGCCCGAGGCTCAGCCCCCTACCCCTCAGCCCTCAGGTGGCCTGCCCCTCCCTCCTCCCTCCTCCCTCCTCCCTCCTCCCTCCTCCCTCCTCCCTCCTCCCTCCCATATGCCTCAAACCACAGCGGTGCCAAAGACGGGAGACAAGGGGAAATTTGGGATGATGCAAGAAAACCCATCCCCTTCCTCCCGGCCGGGATCTGAACCGAGACGTGGACGGAGTCACGTACGTGGACGCTTGGGCACACGTGTCATTCCAGGAACCACCACAGTTTTAAGGTAGAAGTCACCCGAGGCCAGTTCCTGCGAGACTGAACTTGCAGGGACGGTCCTCCGGCAGCAGCAGGCTAGCCTGCCCCGGAGCAGCTGCAGCTCACCGGGCGGCAGTGATGGTGGGGAGGGGGAGACCGAGGTCCGGCCACGGCAGGCCCCCTCCCCTTGCCCTGCCCTCCGTACGCGCTGGGACTGACTTCGGGCTTGAGGCGGCAGAAGGCTGCCGAGGGGCACAGGCAGAGTCCGGGCACCTCCTGCGGAGCGACGGCTACAGGAGCGGAGTGGTGCCAGCTGCCCGCGGCCTCGCAAACCTCTTCTCCCTCCACAGGCGGGTCCCTCCCGGGAGGTGGGGCAGGCCGAGGGCTGGGACCCGGGAAGCGCCCGTCACTGAGCGGGAGCGCTAGGCCGCTGCCCCTGGCACCTCTGCCAGGCCACTCGGACACGCGTGTTCAGGCTAACGTCGCCCCCTTCGGGGTGGGGACCTCTGGCGGCCCTCAGCCCCCTGGGCCAAATGAATGAGTGTTTGCCGGTGCCGCGGACAGGAGGGGCCTCGGCCATCACCCCGAAAGCAATGCAGTGGGTAAGATTAGGGAGCCCAACCCCCCCCCCGCCCCGGGAGAGCAGTTCGCTGGTGAGGTCCGCACCCCCCAAAGTCAGGACAGCCCAGAGCGTGTCTTCCTCCTCTGGGACCCCTCGGACACCCCTCCCTGCAGCCCCCGACGCTCACTCAGAATCCCCAGCGTGCGCACTGCCGGAGACTGGGCGGACTGGGCGGGAAGGGGGGGAAGGCTGGCTCCCCTGGGCCTGGCCGGCTCACACTGGCCCAGCACGCGCTCCTCCGAGAACCCCAGGGCCTTCCGGGGGTGCAGAGGGGGGCGGTCTAATATTTAACCCGCTTTCCCCTCCAGGCACCTTCCTCTCCGGGACCTGGTTCCGGCCAGTTCCCCAGGAGGGACACAGGACGCGACTCTGAGCTCCGTGCCCTCGGGGTTCCGTGATGTTTTTTATGTGAAGTGGGGGGGGGGGCGCGGGGAAGGGGCCCAGGACCCCAGCGCTGGCATGGCAGGTCCCCGGCACATACTGGATATGGACCATCACGATATAAGGGGCGCTCCAAAGGGGCTGGGGTGAGTCTCCCCCACTTGGGCAGCAGCACTATTGCCGATGGGGGGTAACCTTGGCCAGGAGAACTGAACGGGCGGCTGGAAATGTCCCCCACAGGCACGGCTGTGAATGGACAATGCCAGGGAGCCCCTGTGGTCCTCCTGAGCCACAGGCAGGCTGGCTACCGGGACCCCGAGCCCGGGGAGAAGCAAGCATCGCCATCAGCATGTGTTCCTTTTCCACAATTAGAAATCAGATCCGCGAGTAAGTGGAACAGACCCAGGGGATCAGGACGGCAGAGGCCTCGGCCCCCGGGCCCCCGCCCCCCGCGTGCAGCGGCACTCGCCTCAGGCAGCGCTCCACGTCGTGGTCCTCCCGGCAGTACTGGGGGCCTCCGTGCCGCAGGGCGTCCTCGGGGTTCGCGAAGGCCTGGAACACACCCGCGGAGAGTTACCGTGCACGCCGGGCGGCCCGGCCGCCTCCACATCGGCTCACCAGCGTCCACAAGCTCCTACTGTGCGCACGTGCTGGGGACTCCCCCGGACAGGGCCGCTGTGGACTGAAGGTTCCAGTCCCCGGAAGTTCAAACGTTGAAATGTAGCCCCCAAGGCGAGGGTATTTGGAGGTGGGGCCTTTGGAAGGGAAAGTCCCCAGAGAGCTCCCCAGCCCCTCCCTTCATGGGAGATCACAGAGGAAGATGGCCACCTGGGACCCCTCACCAGAACCTGCCAGAGCCGGGACCTTGGAGTTGCAGCCCCCCACCCCCCGTTCTGTTGTTTAAAAGCTGCCTGGCCTACAGCAGCTTATGATAAACTCAGACAAAGGCTCTCCGTCCCTGCTCTAGAGAAGGTCACAGTCAGATAAACCAAGATTATGAAAGAGAAGATAAGGTTGGAGATAAGATTGGCCTTGAGAATGTTCACAGGAGCACTGAGTCTGAGAATCCCAGAAGGCTTCTCGGAGGCAGTGCCGCTAAAGCTGAAAGCTGAGGCCTGAGGGATGCACCAGGGTTAACCAGAGGAAGGGAGGGCGGGAGCAACAGCAATCAAGGCAGAGGAAAGCACGTGGGGGCAGACGGAGATGGGCACTCAACGAATGCCAATGGGCAGCAGAGACGTGGATCACACTCAGGCCACTGAAGGCCTGTGCCCATGGCTCAGGATCCACTGTTCCTGCTGGCATCCAGCGATGCCAGCCCCACCACCTGAGCAGACCTGACCTCAGCACCAGGCCTTCTAAATGGGTCACCCGGGGCAAAGCCTGCCGCGTCTGCCCCCGGAACTCCTGTGACCTGTCCCCAAGTTAGTCCTGCCTGGTGGGCCTGCCCCGTGTGCCCCGCCCCCCGAGGGGAAGGTAGCGCATGCTTGATGCCCGTCTCAGGATCGGGTGCCCACGCCCAGAACTCCTCTCTGCTGCCCGGTAAGTCATGGAGGCACCAACTCTGCCGGCCCCGCACGGAGTCCATGGGCCCGTGACACCCTTAAAAGCGTGTTGGCACCCACAGGCGGCGGCCTCTGGAGCCCACAGTCATGAAGATGGTCACCCAGAATCCGGGTCAGCCCAATGGGGCCCAGGGCAGTGCGGGCCATCAGAAGCTGGAGTGCGCTGAGCCAGGAGGGTGAGAAGCTAGGAAAAGATCTTGCCGAGTGGAATGGGGAAACTGAGGCCAACAGCCAAACCAACCGGCCCAGCCATCCACAGCAGACGCCGGTCACTCAGGCGGAAGCCCCGGTGCCCGGCCTCCCTCCGGGCGGCGCCTCCTCCCCTGAGCTTTCGGACGTGCTGTCCTGCGGGTCGGACCGTCCCCTGAGCTTCCCTCCCCAGAGATAACATCACGGCCTCAGATGAATTCCAGCTCCAGGCCCAGAAAAGCAGCCAAACCAGGTGAGACCGGACCAGCGTCCACGCCTGGCGGCCTCCTGCCCCGGGGCCAGCCGGCCCGTGGAGAGGGCAGCCCGGAGAGGACACACCTGGGAAAGCTGACGGACCAACTATCGCGGCCCCCGGGCAGCCCTGAACCCCCGGGAGAGCAGAAACCCTCGTGGCCAAGAAGCCGCCGCCCCTCCTGGGGGCACACCCCTCCAATCTCCTGTCCAGGGAATTTCCTCCTGCACCTGAGGGTCCTCACCATCCTGCAACCAGGGAGCCGCCGAAACGGCCGCTGGTCCCGGGGGAGCCCCGAGCCCGCCCCCCAGGCCCCTTCCCCTCACTCCGCCGGCAGCAGCCCCTCAGCCTAACGGTTCTGCGGGGTCAGAGCGCCTTGCCCGCGGCCCTCCTGCGGCTTCCACACGGCGTCCCTGTCTCCCGGCCCCTGTCTCCCGGCCCCTGTCTCCCAGCCCCTGTCTCCCGGCCCGGCTAGAATAAACATCCTCTCAAAATCGCCGCCGCCTCGCCCGCCTCGCCTTGTGAAACCCTTCCCGCACGCACGCCGGCTAGGAACGCGACCTTGAGCTGGGCCGAGGGGGCCGGCCCCGGAGGCCCCCGTGATGGCCCAGCTGTGCAAGCGATGAGAACGGCACTGGGGAGCGCTGACGGCCCCAGGCACGGAGTTAATTCTCCTGGGACCCTGGGCGGCCCGGCCTTCCACTGGGCACCGGCGGCCACGCCGGCTCCAGCCCAGCCGAGGGCCGGAGGGTGCCAGAGCCGCGGCCACCCTGCCTTTTAACTGGACTGGGGCGGGGGGGCGGGGGGGACTGAGAGACACACTTTCCAGGAGCCACTCCTCTGCGGACGCACCCGGGGGAGCAGCAGGTGCCCCCAGCAGCTCCTGTCCAACAAGCTGCGGGCGGTGCGGTGAGCCGGGACCAGCGCAGAGCGGCTTCCCGTCCGGCTCAGGACGAGGACGGGAGGAGGAACCCCTCCCCAGAACCCCGAGGGAGCTCAGCGGAGCGCCGGCCGGCCCCGGCCCCATGGCGGTTTGTCGGTGACCTGGCCGGGGCGCGGGCGCGGGGCGCGGGGAATTTCCACGGAGAGCGCCCGGGTCCGATTTCACATCCCGGCCCCGCCCGCCCGCCCGATCCCCGATCCCCGATCCCCATCCGCGCCGGGAGGCTGCCGGGTCGGGGAGCCCGGGCCCGGCTCCCTCCGCCCGGCCTGGGACGCGTCCCGGGCTCAGGCGCTCCGGGCGGCTCAGGTCTGGTCGCGCCCGGCGCTCACCTGGCACACGGTGAGTGAGCAACCTGGGAAGACAGACGCCAGGGCGGTGCGGCCCTGCGGAACCCGGGCCACCGGGAGTCACAGCACACCCAGGCCTGGGGGGGCGGGGGGCGAGGCCGGGGGTCCCGGGGTCCCGGGCGGGCACGCACCTTCTTCCGCAGCCGCACCTGGCCGGTGATGACGGCCACCACGTACATCTTGATGACCAGCAGCGTGCTGCACAGCAGGAAGGCGGGCAGCACCTGGCCGCTCTGCGCGAGGGCCGGGGCGGGCATCCTGGCGGCGGCTGCGGCGGGCGCTGGGTCTGCGGGAGAGACGGGAGCGGAGACAGGAGCGGAGCCTGCAGCTGCGCGGGGAGTGGGCGGAGGCGGGCGGGGCGCGGGGCCCGGCCGCACCGGCACCGCCCACCGCCCGGGGCAGCCCTCCGGCCCCAGGTGCTGGGAGCCCGGAGCCTGGGGTGCCCCAGGGGCCACGCCTCCCAGGCAAGCCCTGTCCCTCTTTCTAATCTGTTTCCTGGTAAAAAAACAAAACAAAACAAAACAAAAAATAAACAAAAAACCAATCAGCCAAAACCGGTTTGGCTCAGTGGATAGAGCATCGGCCTGTGGACTGAAAGGTACCGGGTTCGATTCCGGTCAAGGGCATGTACCTGGGTTGCAGGCACATCCCCAGTGCAAGAGGCATCTGATGGATGATTCTCTCTCATTGATGTTTCTAACTCTCTATCCCTCTCTCTTCCTCTCTGTAAAAAATCAAGAAAATATATATTTTTTAAAAAAATCAAACGAATAAACGTGGAAATCTGATTGGCTTTAGGAAGGAACCGTGAATGGGGCGACCTCCCAGAGAGCAGCTGGAAGGGGCTGAACAAAACCCGGCGTTTCTATCAGGAACGGGGGGCGGAGGAGGGGATTAAAAGTGAAAGAAATGCAAGGATCGCTCCGAGGCTGGACGGCTCTCCTTTGGGGGAAGAGGAGGGGCAGCTTTGTCAGGCTGACTGGCCCCTTCCTTTGTGGGGTGAGGAGGGCAGAGAGGCCCCCGGGACAGACGGGTGCTGGGGCGTGGCCTGGTCATGAAGGTGGGGGTCGGGGAGAGGCTGGCACCGCCCTGAGGTTGGCATGAAATACGGGTCTGGCATCCAGGGCTCTTTAGCGTGAACAGTGCCATTTTGGCCTGCGGCTTTCTCTTTAACGTTCCTCATCTGTCTCATGGGGCTATGGGGCTGGGGGGCTGCGCCTTCCTTCTGTGTGTGACGAAGTGGGGCGCCCGGCAGGACCCCCACGGGTGGCAGATGACACTGGCCTGTGCCTACCTCCCTGAGAACGAGCGCAGGTGGTGGGCAAGAGCGCTGAGCCCTCGGCCCCGCCTCCGCCTGGACCCCTGAGCCACAGCCACCCCGACGTCGATGGGGCTTTGCTGTTCGTGGGGGACTGAAAAAGTGCCCCCCCACCCCCACCCCCACCGACTCAGTGGATAAAAGCACCGGCCTGCAGATGAAGGGTTCCAGGTTTGATTCCGGTCAAGGGCATGTACATGGGTTGCAGGCACATCCCCAGTAGGGGGTGTGCAAGAGGCAGCTGATCGATGATTCTCTCTCATCGATGTTTCTAACCGTCTATCCCTCTCTCTTTCTTTCTGTAAAAAATCAATAAAATATAAAAAAATAAATAAATAAAATAAAGGCAGCAGAACAAGAAAAAAAAAAATGTGGCTCTCCAAAGAAATTCCAATCGTTGTCCTGTTGATAGTTGGCTCGGTTGACTGACCACTGCCCTAGATTATTTGGGTGAGTCCAATTGAATGACCAAAGACCCCTTATCAGAGCAGCAGTGGAATGTGCAAATGAACAAAAGGGGGCGGGGTTCTGTGGCGAGTACCCTCTCAGGGGGATCTGTTCCCAAATCCTACCGGACAGGACCAGGGGGGACAGGACCTGGGGGGGACAGGACCTGGGGGGGACAGGACCTGGGGGCAGTCACGTCCCAGGCACTAACCTCGAAGTAAAAGACTTATTTTGCCTCAAGCAAGCCCTGCCCGGGCCTTGGAGATAAACAGGAACACCTGAGGGAGCACTACTCTCAATTCTCCTCTAACCGACCCCACCTGGCTTCCCCCCGCCGCTTTCACCTTCCTCCTCTTTCCGCTCCGTTTCCCCACACGGAGACGCTGCCGCCCGGGCTGTGACTCCCGGAGCCCGGAGCCCTCTTCCGGGCAGGTGTCTGCAGCTGGACCCAAATAAATGTGCAGAAGCTCTCCACGGGGGTGGACGTCCTGCGGAGACAGATTGGAGGGAGGAGAGAAAGGAGGCGAGGCCGGAGGAGGGAGGCCGAGGCACCGCACGCAGGCTCCTCCCGCAGCCGGGGCACTGGGAGACCCGGGCTCCGGGGCCCCGGGGGAATGGGCCTGTGGATGCCCTGACTTCAGCCCGGCACTGCCTTTGGACGTCCGGCCTCCGGGACTGGCCTCCGGAGAGTGCACCTGTGTTCTCTCAGCCACCAAATGTGTGGTCCGTGTCTCTGACCATCGCTTCCCTTTCCCAAGAGACCCCCAGGCTGACAGCTTGATGGACCGTGACAGGAACTTCCCCGGAGCTTCCACAAAAGGCATCTGAGTGTCTGGAGCCCTTGTTTCAAAATCCTCGCCTTGCCCACTTCCCCCTGCCCCCAGCGCGGGCGGGACCACTGCCGGTCTGGCCATGCTTGCTTTGGCAGGAGTGCCCCGGGGAGGGGGCCCTGCCTCCGGGGTCAGCGGGGAGAGTCTGGCCTGGGCCCCGAGCACAGAGACCGAGGGAAGGCCTGGCCGGAGGGCAAACACCTGGCCGAGGGCTCTGGAGCCAGCTCCGCGGGCGTGGTGCCCCGGGCTGGCTTCTGGTTGCAGCCGTTTCCCTCTGAACCTGTTTTCTCAACCGGAGCAGGCTGGATCCCGTGTGGGGCATGCAGGAGGCAGCCGATCCACTATTCTCTCTCATCATCGACGTTTCTCTCTCTCCCTCCCCCTTTCTCTCTGAAATCAATAAAAATATTTTATACATGACCTCATTTATGGGTAATAAAGAACATTATAAACTGATGAACCAAAGGATAGACAGTAAAGCAACAAGCACACTGTCAAATTACAGCGGGGAGGGTAGGGAGATCTGAGGGAGATAACAGATCAACCAAAGGACTTGTATGCATGCATATAAGCAAAACCAATGGACACAAAACTCTGGGGAGGGAGGGTGGGTATGTACGGGAAGGGGGGGAATGGTAAAATATGTACACAGATAATAATTTAATAAAAAATAAATTTAAAAAATGTTTCATAGAAAGCTCAGTTATAGGGGCTGGGGCTGTGCTACCCCCAGAATGGCAGACCAGAGGGGCCCCTGGGTGGGGATCCCTCCTTGGACTGGGAGGCGTACGTGCTCAAGTGGAAATCCAGGGCCCTGGCAGCCCTCTGACTGAGGCATAATCTCGGCCTCCTCGCCTGCTGAGCTCAACCCGTGAAGCCAGGGCCTGGCCAAGAGGACAGACCTCTGATCTTGGGCCAGAACTTTCCTTAGCCCTTCGCCCGCCCGCCCGGCCTCCGCCCACCCCAGGGGAAGGCCCTGTGGTCCTGGTGGTGGAGATGATGGGGTGTCACTTTCCCTGCAGCTCCTTACATTATTTGCCTTTGAAATGCATCTGCCCCTAAACTTGGGGCAGGAGGGGGATGGGGCTGGAGGGGGCGTGGTGGCTCCTGCAGGAGAGAGAAGCTTTCTGTCTTGGCCTGGGACACGGTTACCCAGGCAGGGATGTGTGTGAAATTCCCTCAGCTCTATCTTCAACTGTTACTTTACAGAGATCTGCATCTCTTTGTTGTTATTATTATTAATTATTATTATTATTATTACTATATATCTCTGCAGCCATAACTGTGCCTCTCTGAGCTCCGGGAGCCGCAGTGTCTGGCGCGCAGGCAGCCTTCCCTGGCTCCCAGTCCCATCCCTGGCCCGGCATTTCCTGGAGGCCCGGCCTTGGGCTGAGATTGTCTGACTTCAGAGGAGCTGCGAGGGGAGGAAGTGCCCCCCCCCCCCCCGGCCTGCCCTGGCTCCTGACCTCTGGGAGCACTGCTGAGCCAAGGATGGGGAAACGGGTGATTAAAGACAGCAAACACCCAGAAGGCCTTGGAGTGACTTCGGGTCAGGTCACCCCTCCCGCGGGAGCAGGGTGTGTGAGCGGGGTCCAGGAAGGGGCGGACGGGGACGGGGGAGCTCTCTCGGAGGCTCCGCAGCCCCTCCCGGGCAGAAGCCCATCTTGGGGGACTCCTGGACCCCGCTCCGAGGAGCCAGTCTGAGGAGGCCTGTGGTTTTGTCTCCCAGCTCACCGCTCTCTCCTCCTTCCTTTGGAGCATCACCCCGGTCCTTGCAGGCCTGGTACTCCTATTGCCTGCGAGCTGGTGGGGCAGCCAATGGGCGCTCTCCATTTTCTTAGGATGGTAGTCACGTGACCCAGACCAGCCAATTACAACGCTACTGGCCTCCGGACACTGATTAGTCCACAGATAGCCAATCAGAGACCTTCCCTGGGAGGTTCTACTCTGACGCTGATGGACCCCTCTGGCTCCAGGACTGGTGGGGGGTTGGGGTGTCAGTATGGCCCGAAGCTGGGTGCAGCCACCCCCCTCCTCCCCGGAGGAGACAATGAGGCTCCAGCCTCTGACTCACCCGGAATCTACGAGTTTCCTTTTTTGCTTAAACAAAACATCAGTCAGACCGCGGCTCTCCTCTGCGTCAAGCTCTACAGCGGCTCCATCTTACTCAGCACAGAAGCCAAAGTTTGGACAATGGCTCATGGACCCATCTGGTCTCCATCTGGTTCCCTCTGAGCTCCTCTCTCCCTCCTGCCCCGTCTCACTCAGCCAGCCGGTCACACGGCCCTCCTCGCCGGCCCTCACCCGCCACGCACTGTCCTCTCTGCGCCTGGGCGCTGGGTGGTCGCTCTGCCTGGGACGCACGTCCCCCAGGCACCCACTGGGTGGCCCCCTCACCGCCACGTTCGCTCACATCCCTCCTCCTCCGTGAGACCCACCCTGAGCACCTTCCTCAGCTCCGCAGCCGGCCCACCCTTTGCTGCCTCTGTGTTCTCTCTTCCCGGCACCGTCACTCCATGGACGACACACGTGGAGATGTGCTCACTGTCCTGTGTGTAAGGCCCGCCTTCCTGGGGCACCTCCAGCAGCCGCCCTGTGTCTGACACACACCGCTGCCCTCTGCCAAACTGAATTAAGCTAATTGGATTTGGATTTCTTTCTAACCAAAGGAGCCACATGTGGCTCTTTGGCCCCTTGAGTGTGGCTCTTCCACAAAACACCACGGGAGAGCAGCTGAGGGAGGGGGGAGGCAGATGGGGAAGAGGGAGAGCAGATGAGGAGGAGGGAGATCAGCTGGGGGAGGAGGGAGAGCAGCTGGGGGAGGAGGGAGATCAGCTGGGGGAGGAGGGAGAGCAGATGGGGAGGAGGGAGAGCAGATGGGGAGGAGGGAGAGCAGATGGGGAGGAGGGAGAGCAGATGGGGAGGAGGGAAAGCAGTTGGGGAGGAGGGAGAGCAGTTGGGGAGGAGGGAGAGCAAATGGGAAAGGAGGGAGAGCAGGAATGTTTGTCTCAGCACAACTCACTGCCAAGACCTTCCAGGGAAGCTGCTGCTGGCACCCTGAGTGTGGTTCCGGGCAGCGGCTCCGGGCTCCGGGCTCCGGGTGAGCCAGGACCCTCCCTGGCTGCTGCCCAGGCATCAGGCAGGCACACGCGACCCCCACCCACGGCTGCTGTGTCCGTGGGCAAGGCCAGCGGCCGCTCCAGCCACATCAGGAACCCATTTCCGAGGGTGCGAGGAGGCGGGGGGGGGGGGGGTGTGCATTCCTGGGATCATGTTCCGCCAGCGAGGGCTCAGGGGACTGTGGGCCGCGCTTTCCAAGGCCGAGTGATGGGAACCCTGCCCACTCCTTCTGTTGCTTCCAGACCGAACCTCCCAGTCCCCAGAGGCACCAGCCCCGCCCTCGGGGCCTGGTCACAGCGACAGGGTTTGATGGCCGCGGTTTCCAGCGAATCGTCCGCAGGGCTCAGAGCGCCACCCCACCCCGAGGGCCCCTCTCACCCGAACCTGCCCGTCCTGTCCTGGAACTCACCGTGTCCGGTAACGAGAATGCCAGTCACTACAGCCCAGCGGACAGCAGCGGCCTGCGGGAGGCCCGCCCAGCCCGCCTCGCTCCGCCAGCACCGCAGCCGCGGCAGGCTCACTCCCGGGTGGAAAGGAGGCTCAGGGCTGCGGCGACCCCCTCTGAGGTCACACGCCCGGGCAGGGGCTGTCCCAGCTGGAAGAGCCGGGTTTGGATGCTAGCCTGCCTTCTGCACAGCTCTCCTTGTTCACAATTCCCTCCCATGCCCCTGGCTCTGCCCCTCCGGCCACCAAGGACACACAGCTCCCTCTGCTCCCACTGCCCTCAGAAACCGGAGTCCCCCACCCCCTCCCCCAAACCCCTGCCACGCCATCGGCTGATGCTCAGGTCCCAGGCCTTCCAGCCCTCAGGCCCCGGCTGTGGAGGCCCCCCTCCGAGGGGCCTCGCCTGTGCCAGGGGCCAGCCCAGACCAGAGGTTCTCGGCCCCATCGTCATGGGGACCGGCATCAAATCGAACGCTAACAGCTGCTTGCATTTCTGAGTGCTTCCCCTGAGCCAGGCCTCTTGCATTATCGTTGTATTTATTATTTATCTTTTTTATTGATTTCAGAGAGGAAGGGAGAGGGAGAGAGAGGAATAGAAACATCAATGATGAGAGAGATTCAGAGATTAGTTGCCTCCTGCACGCTGCACACTGGGGATCGATCCCACAACCCAGGCCTGTGCCCTGACCGGGAATCGAACCGTGACCTCCCGGTTCACAGGTCTGCGCTCAGCCACTGAGCCCTGCCGGCGGTTCATGTGACATCTCTTTAAACAGCACTTTATGATATTCGTCATGTGTTCACCATACTGTCCGGTTGAGGCAGGTACTGTCTCCATTCCCATCCTGTAGGCGAGAACGCCAGGTACGGAGAAGCTTACCAGCCACATAGCTGGTCAGTACTGACCACACCTGTACTCCAGCTTCCAGATAGGCTCCTGGGGCTCAGGGCAGAGAATCAGCCGCCGTAAAGAGGTCACTGTGGAGGCTGCAGGGCCAGACCGCAGTGCGGAGCCCACGCCCTGGGCCCCTCGCACCCGCCTCTACCATGCCTGCAGGTGCGGAATGGCGTCCCCCGAAAGGGTGCGTCCAAGTCCCACCCCCACCCCCTGGGACTGTGAGTATGACCTCATTCGGAAACGGGGTCTGAATAGTCAAGGTTCTCCAGGGAAGCAGACGCAGTAGGAGAGAGAGATGGAGGCGGAGGGAGAGACACACACAGAGACGTCTGTTATGAGGAAGTGGCTCAGGCGGTTACAGAGGCCGAGGAGGCCCGGGATGGACCAGCGGCAAGTGGAGTTCACGGATTCAGACCCGGAAACATGCTCACGTGTGTGACGGGGCCCCCCCGCGGCCAGGTCAGCCGACACCGACCATCCGCCAGCACGGGGTCCCTGCAGGCGCACTTAGGTGAGGGGCTGGAAGGAGAACAGCTTGGATTTAAGGGCGATAAACCCATGAGCGGAGAGGAGAGGGGAGAGGCCAGAGGAGAGAGCCCCTCGGGGCCTCTGGAAGGAACCGGGCGGCCGGGGGGCGCTTCTTCGCTTGGAGGATTTTCTGGGTGGTCTGAGACAGACTCACACATGACACACACACGTCCGGGAGCCCCACACACACGAGCGGTTCAGAGACAGTTAAGATGGGAAATAGTTGGCGGTGGAGCCGAGGGGAGGCGAGGCGCCTCGGGGGCAGGAACCCGGTCACAACTCGATAAGAAAAAGCAGATGTTCGGAATGGAAAGCTTGCCCTGCCCTGCAGCTAGGCCATAAAAAGTCACTTCTGGCGGGTTCTTCCATTCCTTTGAAAAGGCCCCCGTGTACATTCTCGGAGAACTGAACATTCCTCTCCCACCCTCAGGCTCTCGATGGCCTTTGGCTCCAAGGAGCTGCAGGCCAGGGCAGCACAGCCCGGGAGGCCGGCTCTGAGCCCCGTCCAGGCACTGGGTTTCGGCCGCTGGCCTGCAGCTCCGAGGGAGACCGAGTCTGTGGCCGCAAGGCATGCCGAGTGGTCACTGGTGACAGCGGCCCCAGGAAACGCA